CAGCGCCGTGAGGCCTCCTCTCCCCTGCTGTGTGTAAAACCACCCGGTTCTGTTCACCGCGCGCACGAAAATGCCGGTTTCCGTAGGCAAAGCTCTGCGCAGCCCCGCGGGTTGGCTGGAGAAAGGCCCTTGCCCGTCACCTCCAGCCCCCGTCACCTCCAGCCCCCGGCACGGTGGTGCCTCGCGGGCGGTTTGCGCGTTGTGGGCACCGTCGCTCCGTGCTCGCCAAACCAGAGACGTGCCGTGTGTGAAGTTTTCAGATCCCGAGGAGCGGCTGTCCGGAAGCGAGAGGGAGGAGGACGAGGACGACGTCGAGGCTGCCCTGAGGAAGGAGGTCGGCCAGATCCGCGCCTCGACGGAGCGTTCCAGTCGGTGGAGAGCGGTGCCAACAACGTCGTCTTCATCAGGACCCGGGGGATAGGTGGGACGTCAGCCGACGACGTGTAGTGCTGTGGGGGTAAACCGCTCTGAACGGTGCTAGTAACAGGCCACGGAGCGTGACTTCCAAGAAACTGGTGTACACCAAACAGATACAGGGTTTCCCCTTCACTTTAGCATTGCCGCTGAATTTTGTCATTAGCGGAGTTGCTAAATGTAGAGAAATCTGCTTTGACAAAATAATCTTTGATTATCCAGTTTTGGTATAGTAAAATAACTCTTTGCAGAAAAGGATTTGAGGCTGCCAGCAGTGCAGCCAAGTGTGCGTTTCCTCAGGCTGTTGTTTAGAGGGAGTAAGGAGGGGGAAAATGCCTTTAATTTGTTTCTCATACCTAGCTGTTTTTCTTGTAGAACCTGAGAACCTGGTGCACCACATATTAAAGGATATGCATGCCACTAAAAAGAAGAAGACAAGAGTCATTCTGCGCATGCTGCCCATTTCTGGAACTTGCAAGGCTTTTATGGAGGATATGAAAAAATACACGGAAACGTTTTTTGAGCCTTGGTTTAAAGCCCCTAATAAGGGTACTTTTCAGATTGTTTACAAAGCTCGTAATAACAGTCATATGAGTAGAGAAGAAGTAATTAAGGAATTGGCAGGTATGTATGGATTTCACACAGAACAAACAACAAGTGTATAAGCAGCCCACAACTATATGCAGAACATAGAGCAGATTATTAAGAGAGGTCTTAACGGGCATACGCATTTGTTGCTTAAAATCTGTGTTGAATTAGAGAGGCTTCTCTAAGACTTAAAAAAGCTTGACATCAATATTCCTTGTCGGTGTTGATGTCTTAAGGGACAAGAAGCAGAAGAGAGTACAACGTTGAATGTAGTTTGGAGTGTGCTTTGAAATGAGTGCTGTCAGGCTTTCCGTCTGGGTGTCATATTGAAATAATGCGGTAGTATGTCCATTGAATGTATGACTCGGAAGATAGCTCCACCTTACTCGAGTATTTTGTTTCTTGGTGGGATAGCTTTTCAATTCCTGGAGTCCTGCTGGTGGTATATTCTAAGGGTCCTGCTGTGGTCTGCTACTTTAAGCAATTACAAAACTTGAGTAATTGGTTACAACTAAGGGGGATGTTGCCTTCTCTCTCAGCTTTTATCCTGGAGTTCAGTAGGGCATGCTTATGCTCTGAAACAGTTTTTCCAGCATCTTTTAAACTACGTCTTGTTTTACAGGAATTGTGGGCAGCCTCAATCCAGAAAACAAAGTTGATCTTAATAACCCACAGTATACAATTGTGGTGGAAATAATAAAAAACGTCTGTTGCTTGAGTGTGGTGAAAGACTATGTCCTGTTCAGAAAATACAATCTACAGGAGGTGGTGAAGAGCAACAAAGATGACACACAACAAAACCCATCAAGTCTGACAGAAGACCAGAACTTGAAGGTAGTAAATCCAGAAACTGAGGAGGAGAAGAGCTCAAAAGAAGTAAACCAAGAGAACAAGAATCAAGGTGAAATAGAAGCTGATCCCAAGGAGAATGATGCACTGACAGTGTAGAAAACACAGTAGAAGGGAAAGATGAACACAATTGAAACTTATTAAAAAAAGTTGCCCAAGAGTTCTGAAAGGGTGTTTTAATGAGGAGAGTGGGTTTTGTTTTGAAATCTTGTTTTTAAAATCCACACGTGTAAGAATTTTAATGCTCGTTGCAGGTGGAGCTGACATTACGGCAGATGTAAGAGTGCGTCACCTTTCTGGTGAAGCTTGCTGTCGTTCTTCTGCGGCTTTGTTCTGCATTGCCTTTACCCAGCACAAAAAGCAGGTGTGTGTGCATATGTAAACGTGGCCATCCTGACGTACATCGACTCTCCTTTGTTACATTTGATGGCTGCAGAAATAAAAGGCAGTGCAGAATCGGCTAGGTCAGGAAGTATTGACAGAAGTGAGAGATCTGATAAAGACAGTTGCTTGCAGAGGGTTTTTAAGGAGGTGATCTGACAACTCGTGTGACGCAGAACTCACAGATGCGTTTTTCTGTGTGAACAACAGAATGAGCTAAACCTGATCATTTCCTGTATGATGGAGGGTTATATACACATACATACACACACACACACACACACACATTGCTCTACATAGATATGCTAAGTAAGTCTTGAAAATGAATGGGAAGAACTGCTATGATCAAAATACTTGAATACTATGAGATGATTTAGAGTAATAGATTTGACTGTTCTAGAACAGTAAAAGTACAGGGCAGGCATTGCAGATGGTTTTACCAGAAACTACATGTGTGTTTACATTAGCTGTGTATACAGCAGTTACTGGCTTATAGGAAATGCTGTAGTCACTGAACAGAATCCTTTTGAGTAATTTCCTGCAAATAGCGTTTTGCTGCTCTTTCCAAAGACTTAATCCTTGTGGGGTTTTATAAAGTCTTTTTTTTGTTTTTATTTTTTTCTTGGGTCTCAAAATTTGAATTTAAATACTGTTTGGAAACTTCTTATGAAATAAGCTCTCCATTATACCGTACTGGATAAGGGAAAGTAAAGTTTAATTTTTGGCACAGTTTTAGCTTAACAGTATTAATTCTGTTTCAGATTGAAAAGTAATGTTAGTGAGTCTTTCTGTTGTCTGTTTGTTACAGCAGCTTTTTTGATATCCCAGTCACTCTTCAGAAACAACCGAAACGAGTGCAGCTATAACCTGCTTTCCAGTAGGGTTTTGAGGATGTTCCCTGTACAACTGTCTAGCTTTCGTATTTAATTTCTAGCATAAAGGCCTGTGCGTTGCTAATGGGAAAAGACTCATCTTGAAGAACACCACTTGTTACTTGTCTTGGTTTAGTGAAAAGAATGTTCAAGTCTCTCAACAGTGTTTAATTTATGTTTTCCTCTTCTCCAAAAATTGTTTTAGAAGTTGGAAAATTAAGATGACTTTTTTTTTTCCCTAGTCCTGTCTCCCTTCCCATCCATTTATTAAAACTCTGCTTTCTTATCTCCATTGGTGTCTTCTTTAAATTGTAAAGATTTCTGTGTGTGGATTAAGCCCAGCAATGTCTAGGTCGCACAGAGGAAAGAACCATATGAGTCCAGACACAAAGGCCAACAGTGAATGTTTATTGGTGGCTGATGTTGGTGATCATGATCCAAGACAGCCTGTTTCTATTACTAAGGACAAAGATAGATTCATGGATAGTTTGGGGTTCGGTTTTGGGCTTTTTTTCCTTTTCTCTCACTCATCTGTGTGTATACAGGACCTACAGCTCTTCAGAAGAAACTGCTGAATAGCTGCCATTCATTGGTCAAGCCTCTATCTGACATTTAGATGCTGCCTCTGCTGTCCACATTCTTCTGATTTTACCTAATTTGCACTTACTGAGCATTCATTGTTAACACATGAATTCCTAAATCTTGAGGCTTTCAAGATTCATACAAGCAGGGTGCTTAATTTGGATACATGTGAGATCTATGGCTCTTTCTGGGAACTTCATTACCTACTATCATGATTTCCTCATTAATAAGCCTCTTGCAAGGTTTAAATATCTGGTCTCAAAGAAGGAACGCACTGCTTGTACTGTAATTCTAAAAAGCATTAGGTGGCTGGAAGATACGTTTGCATGCCTTGCTAAGTAGGTGTGACTTTTGTTCAGCAAGAACACAAGCATTTAAAAACCGTACAGTCGGAGTTTTCAAACCTTGTGCATTATTAGGCAGTGGTTGTGTAACAGGTAGAATGTAATCCTATGCTGGTGCTTACAGTTGGAGTAGAAAAGCTCCATTAGGAATGAAATCGATAGGGATAGCCTTTTTTAGATTGCTTATCAAAACTAAATCTGTCCCCACTCCTTGTTCTTCAGTTCATTCCGTCTGATTTTCCCAGCGATTGTCTTTGGCAGCTGCTGGACAAATTCAATCTGATTCAAAAGAGGAAAAAAGTAAACTGAGCAGATTTCATTTAGAATTTTTTTTTCAGAACAGCATAGGTCTCCATTCTGCTTAATTTATATAAGGCTTTGGTGACTGGGGAAATAACTCCAATTTGGTTTTAGATTGTGTTGTATCTATTATTTTCCAAAATAATCTTTAAAATAATATTTGTCATTTTTCTTCCACAGTACCTATTTGGGGTTGCTTTGTTAATGAGTTTGAACTGAGTCTAATCGTTCTGTTTGTAGCCTCTCCACAGTTAAAATAGGCGTTTGGGATTTATTTTTATTTTAATACACTCGTGTTTACTTGCCTTTCTGGGGTACTTGTATGGAGCAGTGACTTTCTTGACATGATCTTGCAATTCACAGGCCAGTTTATTTGGATCTTGTGACTTAAAGGAAGGAGACAAGACCACAAAAGCTTTTACCACCTACAAAGGGAAAATAAGTAAGAAATACAGCATTAACTTAACTACAGCAACCTAACAAATGAGGCAATTAATTGAGAATAAGCGAGTATCGCCTCCAGCACAGGCTTGTATCACACCTGCGCTGTAGAGCAAAATTCATTTTTGTGTAAGCAAATTTAAAATTAGGATGTAAGACTGTTTCTACCTGAACATTAGTAAAAAATGTAAAAATGTTAGTCCTAAGTAATACCTGATAAAAGTTTCAAACTCTGCTTCCACATTTGTAAGATTTCTGTAAAGGACTGTTCTAAAGTTCTTAGATGCTGGGGCCTTTTCCATAAAATTACGTTGTTAAAGAATATCATTCTCCAGGCAGTGGGTCAAAATATACATCAATTCTTACCAGAGTCACTTGTATATTCAGTGTCATGTTCTTTAGGAAACTAAGGATTATATTTTCATTTAAAAAAAAAAAAAAAGGGATACACAAACTACTGCCCCTCTCACTTTGGGTAAAGTGATGGAAAAGTTTGTATAGCTCTATTGAAAGTCTTACGAATTCAGTGGAAGTTGAGCGTAAGCTCAGTCCCACGAGGCCCTTGATGAATAGAGGAGTGAGCACTAATTACCTCTCCTCTGATGGGGTCGGGGCTGCTGACAACGGCTGACTCTACGACAGCCGGGTGCTGTATCAGGGCACTCTCTATTTCAAATGGTCCGATACGATACCTAGGAGAGAGACATGAAATGCTTAGTACGTGAAGGGTATATGGTGATTTTTTTAGACATTTCTTGGCATTTTAATGGAAATCTACAAACCCAGAGGAGATTATGACATCATCAGATCGCCCCATGAACCATATGTATCCATCCTCATCCATGCTCCCTCTGTCTCCAGTGATATAGAAATTCCCACGGATTGTGGAAGCAGTTTTCACTGGATCAGCCTGTTGGACAAGCAACAATTAAATATTCTAAATATTGAGAAGCCTTAAGCTAAGAGATGAGCCTTGCCTTTGGACACTACCCATAGTATCTCTCACTGCTTGTTTTCCGCTTCGAGACTGTGAGCTTGTGCTTGCTTTTTCCAGAGGGGAAAAGGGATCACAAGGGCAGACAGAACTGACGATCACACAGTAGGTCTGCAGAAGAATGGCAGTTTCCTAAGTCAGAACGCTGTTAAGTCAAGTCAAGAAGAGCCACAGCTCTTTGGTGTCACCTGCTCCTGTTGGAATAAGTACATCCCGTGCTGCGGGCCTGAGCTGGCTCTCTGGAAATTTGCTTTTGGCTTACCACGTATCGAGTGAAAAAAGTAAATGGCCGCTTGGCATCCATTTTGATAGCAATGTCTCCTTCTTTCCCAGGAGGCAGGACATTGCCGTTTTCATCTATAATCTGCAATAGGAAGGGCAAATGGGTGATTATAATTTCCCATTTTAAGAGAGCCATGTTCTAAAAGTAACCAGCGGCCAACAGCTCAACCAAAAAAGTCAGCCAGCTCTGAATACCACTGTATGGTACCAAAACGTGAACAGTATGTCATACTCTCTCGTGTTTTACTTCCTAGGAAGTCAACAGCAAACAGAAAAGGGGAGCACCATACCTGAACATCGTAGGGGGGAGCTGCCTTTCCCAAGGAACCTGGCTTAATTTTCATTCCTTTCATATTTGCACATATCATTCCCTGTTGGAAGAGACAAACAACCAACCCAGGTATTTTTCACTGTCGTTCCTGTTCTTGTACTATGCCCACTGTTGAACTAGCGTAAGGTCTAAATCTTCCATCTGTGTGAGTCAAAACAGTTGTGAACTTCACTGAGAGTCTTGGACAAAAAGTTCAAGATATTTTACAGCGTAAGTAGTTTTAGAAGCAGTAGCATAACCAAGCCCTAATTCTAAGCAAAACAATAAGCCTTCTTGTAGGCAATTGCCATGTATTCTAATGCCATCTTTTCTTTTTTAGTCACACATACATGGCCACATTCTATATTTACCAAGAGGAATAAGATATCTAAGTCCTCCAAGTAACAGCTGAGTTGTAACCCTTTACAAAAAAGCTGAACGTACAATTTCAGTTTGGCCGTAGCCTTCATAGATAGTCAGTCCCGTTTGGCTTTTCCACTGTGCCATCACTTCTGGGTTGAGTGGTTCCCCTCCGGTCAAGCAGTGCTTCAGCCTCTTGAATGCATACCTTCATAGACAGAGGGCATTGCAGA